TATACATCTTTAGTCCATTGTGTCCATTATTCCCCCCAAACCGCTGCCAAAGCATCTCCATCTTTCCTTTCTCACTTTATCTCCAAGCTAACTGAGGAGGCTGTGGGGATCATTTCTACTATTGTCCATCACTTACAACAAAACTGCCACCTGCAGCTCTTCCTCCTGTCTCCACCACAGCAGCTCTCACTATCTACTGAACATATCTCCACCCTGCAAACACTTTCTTCTTCACCTCTCTTCTGCTCTGTCCATTGCTCTGGATCATTGACTTTAAACTCATCTACCTTCGATGATTCCACTGCTTGCATGTTCACCTCTCCAGCTCCCTTCCTGTCATTCACACAGATTCTTTCTTGATTCTATTGATTTTCATTGTTCATACCTCCACCTGCTCCACCTGCTCCCTGCTATGACAGAATTAAAGTGTCATCTGTGAAGGTCCACGGAGACCTCATTTATCCACCATCACCACTGCAAACAAGACGAGGCTCAGAGCTGATGATTTAAAACCACCTGTCAGCTCTGCTGCACACCTCACCACTGCCTCTTACATGTCCTCCAGGGTGGAGCAGGACACACAGCTCTCTGCCACACTTAGTTTGTTTTTGGGCATGCTGTCAGTAGTACACCTCATTCTGATCTCCTCCTTGCTCTCCACCAACACCCTCAATAGAAACCTTTCATCTGTGTTCCTTCTTTGCTGCTTGCTGATCATCACGTCTCCCTTTAGTCCAGCAACTCTTTCTCTGCTCATCAGCTTTCCTGTCACATTGGTTCCTGAGCTTATCTCTGAGATTATATCTGTCATGGTCCTGAGTCCGTGGTGTATTTATTGTTATTATTATCACTATTATTTGTGGACTGTTTGGGATGGTTTGTGTTCTGGGTTCCTGTGTTGGTGCTCCCTCTGTTGGTTCTGTCTCGTCAGGTTCATCAGGTCCAGCTGTGCCTCCCACTGTGTGTGATTTCCCAGTGTCCCTCTGTGTGTTATAGTGTGTGTCTGCCTGCGTCTCTCTGCACAGCCTTCCTCATCTGCCATCTCTGTACATCTCCTGCTGTCCTCATGTTTCAGTTTGTTAGTTTTTCCCAGTTTCATGTTCAGTTCTTCTTCACCTCTGTTATTTTCACTGTACATAAATCTCCACTGCCGTCTGCATCCTGGGTCCTCGTTCTTTCCACCACACGGCTGCTGCCCCGGCTGTGACAATATCAGCTCCTCCTGAAACTGTATGCAACATTGTTCCTTCTCCAGCTCACACCATGTAATCCCCGCACACGCACACGCACACGCTCTGTACCGTTTGATCCAACTTTCTCACCTGACATCCTGTTTGTCAGGTACATGCAGTGACAACATTCAACATCACCGACTTTACACTCTGCAGCTCCACAGTACACATACTCAAGGTCACCCCTGCTCCTTTTCTCTCCTATCAACACTAAGATAGAGTTTGTATCCACCTTCAGTGGCCGTGGCCTTGCTTCCTTCTTCTCCTCCTGCACACAGAACATGTCTACCTTCCTCGTGTCCCTACATTTAAAGTACCCACGTATCCTTTCCTTCGTTCTCGTGCTGTCCTCATACACGATGCTCCTTTTTTTTCTACCGTTTGAAACTACAAGTTCGTTTT